TTGGCGAGGATGCGGAGAAAGAGGATCTCTTTTGCACTGCTGGTGGGAATGCAAGCTGGTGCAGCCACTCTGGAAAACAGTATGGAGGCTCCTCAAAAAACTAAAAATAGAACTACCCTACAACCCAGCAATTGCACTACTAGGCATTTATCCAAGGGATACAGGTATGGTGTTTCGAAGGGGCACACGTGCCCCAATGTTTATAGCAGCAAATGGCCATCGATGCATGAATGGATAAAGAAGATGTGGTATATATACACACAATGGAGTATTACTTGGCAATCAAAAGGAATGAAATCTTGCCATTTGCAACTATGTGGATGGAACTAGAGGGTATTATGCTAAGTGAAATTAGAGAAAGACAAATATCATATGACTTCACTCATATGAGGACTTTAAGACACAGAACAGCCGAACAGAAGGGAAGGGAAGCAAAAATAATATAAAAACAGGGAGGGGGACAAAACATAAGACTCTTAAATATGGAGAACAAACAGGGTTACTGGAGGGGTTGTGGGAGGGGGGATGGGCTAAATGGGTAAGGGGCATTAAGGAATCTACTCCTGAAATCATTGTTGCACTATATGCTAACTAATTTGGATGTAAATTAAAAAAATAAAATTAAAAAAAATTTTTAATAGAAAAAAAACAGGCTATTAGCAAAAGTTGGAAAAGTAGTAAACAAACTGTTAGTGCAGACTAGAAACGTGGCGAGGAAACCACTATGGCGGCTTGAGAAACGGAATGCATTCTACATGCTGGCAAAGATGTCACCTGTGCTAGTTTGGAAAATAGAAGAAAACACTTCGTGATTTTCAGATCTGGCTAAAGAGATCTCTGGGAACCCCGTTAAAGGCTTCCGTTGGATGCTCCTAGCTACATACGATAACCTATAGAAAGAGAAGAGCTAATGAAGCAACTAAGCAGTTTATAAGTTAACACAGAGAAAATACAGACCCGTGGGGAAAAAACAAGGCGAGCACCCTAATCAACTAGCCTGGTAATGGTCATGCATGGATGGTCTCCAGTCCCAAACTGCCCCCTGACTGCAGCAACATGAGCAAGCCCAGGTGAAACCTGCAAAACACCCATCTGTGCCCAGTTCAAAATGCTGACCTAGAAAATTGTGTGCGAATAAATTATTTTGTTTTAAGTCCATAAGCTTTGGGGTGGTCTGTTATGCAGCAAAGGCTCACTGATAAACTGATAAAGGAATGTCATGTTAGATGAAAAATACTTTACAATTAATATCATCCTTGACTTGCTGTGATGCTAATGCTGTCAGAAACTCCTTAGATTTGGCAAGGAATAGATTCAGTCCTCCTGTTTTTCTCTCACTCTGGAGCATGAAGTCATTACTTGGAAAAGAGGACAGATTCATCTGAATGACCTGAACAGTTATTTTTTTCCCTTTCTTCAGCCAAGTGCCTAAAAAATGAATTAATCTAAGTTAAAAGTATATATGATGGCTCCACTGTGTTGGCAATAAACACACTTACAGAACTAATAATCAGAACATGTCAGAAAAAGACCACACATTTGAAATGAAGAGTGTCCTGAATACCTAAGACACTGTCATGAGCCACTGAAGGAGGGTTTCTGAACAGAAAACTGATGTTACCGTAATGTTTGGGGAAAATGAGAATCATAGAAACACGCAGTGGGTAGCAAAGGACTATATCAACACGCGGAAACAAACTGGGACACGATTGTGAACATTCACATGAGAAAAAAGATCTGCACTGGCAGGTCTACCCTAGGGATGTAAACTACACAGTATAACAATAAAAACAAAAACAAGAAAACTGCACAACATGAAGCAGACATCGTGATGGAAGAAGGGGGCCTCAAAAATGGAAGAAATAATCCACAGTATCAAACGTTTTAGAACAGGCAAAGTTCCAAAGCTCCAACTGGTGTGAGTCCCCACTGCTTCAAAACAGTCATTTCCATTTACCTTATCATATTCCTGTTATGAGAGTAAATACAAATCTATAAAAAGAATTGCATGCACAAGATTGATCATAGAAGCAAAATTTACAATAATTAAAATAACTGCGAACAAGTTAAATGTTCCCCCAAAGTGGACAGAACCCTCTTATACTGTTGGTGGGAAAGCAAGCTGGTGCAGCCATTGTGGAAGACAATATGGAGGTTCCTCAAAAAGTTAAAATAGGAACTATCATGCCATCCAGTAATCACACTACTGGGTATTTACCCAAAACAAAACAAAACAAAACAAAACAAAAACATGAACTCAAAGGAATACAAACACTCCTATGTTTATAGCAGCATTATTTACAAGAGCCAAATAATGGAAGCAGCCCAAGTATCCATGATAGATGAATGGATAAAGAAAATGTAGTATAAATATATAATGGAATATTATTCAGCCATAAAAAAGAATGAAATCGCACCATTTGCAACAACATGGATGGAACTAGAGCGTATAATGCTAAGCAAAATAAGTCAGTCAGAAAAAGACAAATACTGTATGATTCACTCATATGTGGAATTTAAGAAACAAAACAAACAAGCAAAGGAGAGAGAGAGAGAGAAACCGAGAAACAGAATCTTAGCTACTGAGAACAGACTGATAATTACCAGAGGGGAGGTGGGTGGCAGGATGGGTAAACTAGGTGATGGAGATTAAGGACTGCACTGGTGATGAGCACTGGGTGATGTATGGAATTGTTAAACCTCTATATTGTACACCTGAAACTAAGGTAACACTGTATGTTAACTATACTGCAATTAAAAAAAATAATAAAAACATTCCCCCAACTTGGTTAATAGTGGATGGGTTCATCCACTCATTGCACTATTATATAAATCACATCCAGTGGGATAAGTGTTGGTAACCCTAACCCTCCACCTATGAAAAATTCGTCTGGATAGATACACTGTACTAGCTTTAATATAGTGATTTTATCATTAAGGTCTATCAAAATGTGTATGTGCGAGCGTGTGTGTGTGTGTGTGTGTGTGTGTGTGTGTGTGTGTGTAAAATTAAACAAAAACCCCAATGGTAACAGAATCTCAAAACAAAATGGAAGACTCATAAGTGTGCAGGCTGTGCCCCTCCACATTACTGAATGTTGTCCACCAAGCACTCTGCACACAGCAGACATTCAGCAAATTTGTTCAATGAAATCAACGAAAAAATGCTGAAGCTTAGCAATACCCTGTGCCTGCCAGCCCATCTCATTTGTTACAAATTCTCATTTGTTCTCTCAGGCAAAGGTCCCTGGCAGTGACACCTAATATCCTACTGCATATTTGTTTAAATTGGTTTGCATAATTCAGCTGTCATGCATATCGGAGTACCTGCATGGTCTACGCAAACCCCCTGAAACATGTAGTTAATTATGCGCCCCAAATAACATAACAATACAAACAACAGAAACTCCTTTGTTACTTAGTTCCTTCAAATAAATTTACTTAAATTTGTGGTTCCTCTATGCACCAAACATTTAGTGTCAGGTACTCCTCTAGGCACAGAAGTTTCATCTTAAACAACTTATCCATTCAAATGCTTGTACCCTTTGATCAATTTTTCCTAATACTTTTTTTTTTTTTTTTAAGTATTAGGGGCAGGAAAAATCAGCCCACACAAATATCTAGCTTTTCCCAGAAATCATAACGCTTTCCTATTAACATTACGAGTGGTGAAGAAAATACACACAAAAGACTCAATGTTACGTTAGGTAACGTCCTCAATTAGATTTATTATGCATTCTTGGTACTAACACTTTCAAATGAATGAAATATTTTACAAATGAGAAACACAGAACTCTCATAGTTGTTCTGATAACATCCAGGAAATTGTAAATCACTACCACAGAAGCTCAGGATTAAATCAACGTCTCATTTTCTGTTTAAATTTTCCTGATTTGTTTTTATATGGATAGTCAAAGCAGATCTGAAATAACCAAGTAATGCGTGTCAAAAATCATAGTAAACCAGCCTGGCAACTGTGTTGGTGCTCGATAAATGTTAATCACATTCAATTAAGGGAAGGTCATCATAGCTACCATTGACAGGGGTTAGAAAGTTTCCCCTTAAATCCCTATACATCCATGCCTTTGATTTCCGTATGTCAAATTCCTTCTCAACATCCTTCAAAACCTAGCTTACTCAAAGACAAAATCTACACGCCTCAGTCTGGCACTCAACCTAGCCACCCAGACTCAGAGGTGAAAAATGAAAATCCTTCAGGGGCAAGATAGGTAATAAATGAGAGAGGCAGGCAAAATGATAGCTGGTCAATAGTTTCAACCTCAGTTTGGAAGATATTGTGAAAAGTGCAGCAAATAAACTCGGCAGGACCTGTCCAAATGATGAAGACACTGTTCAGTGCGAATTACCTGACACCAGAGTTAAGTGCAGTTTATTTTCAGAGAAGCAGGCAATCCAGAATTTTTGGTGAAATCTCCAAATGCTGAAAAGGCTCTCAATGTAAAATTCAGGTCAGACCATCAAACTCCTCTCTGTTCCATGCGTCTGTATCTTCACCAGCACATAAAAATCAACCTGAAAGCATTCCATTAACCACTACAACCTTGCCACACTGTGGCGAGGGCAGACTAACCATGCTTCCGGCTCTCCTCCCTGCTCTGCCAGCTCTCCAACTTGCCAAACCCTCAGGGGCAGTTCTGACAGCCTTTCTTCTGGAAGCCCTCCCTAACCACCTCAGGTCACAAGCATCTCTGCTGTCCCTACCCTTCATCCTTATCACTGGACAATTAAGCTTGGATGTTCCTGTATTTTTATTTAAACTGTTCTACCTGTGCTGTTCAAACTGACCATTTCGAGGATGGCCGAGGTATGGAAGAAACAGAAAGGAATGGTGAAGGGGGGATTCTATGTAAGATGAGCCACCACGCCTCCACGAACAGGAGCGAACTTGGCCCAATACCAACAAGGCAGTCTGCAGTGCAAGAAAAAGGAACAGAGCCATTCTGTTGGCAGCCAGCATGGAATTTGATGAAAATTCTCACCTCTTTTTTGGCTTTCAGGAGCCCCGTGGCCATTTTCCTGGTCTCCTGAATGCTCTCTCTGGAGATGGGCAAAGTCTCAGAAGACAGATCTGGGGATGTGAAGAGAAATGCCCCTATGGAGAAGCCCCTCCCCAAGAGTCGGGGGGGGGGTCGGCTCCGGAGCCCCACAACTGCGGGTTGAGAGTGTCCAGAAATCACCCGCACAACCCAATTCCCATCCAGAGCCCTGGGAAAAGGGTCTAGGGTGACCGAGCACCCTCACGTTCAGCCCCAAGCTCTGGCCAGGGAGTGGAGCCCATGGCCCCCTGCAGAGGCGTGGGGGGTCCGTCTCTAACCTTATGGGCTGGAATGAAAATATAAAGGCCTGGAGGTGCCTACAGAAGAACGCCCGAGTACAGAGGCAGCCTGTTCCCCCACGAGTAAAACAGGGACAAGCAGAGGGATGCGCTGCCTGGACGAGGCAATGGTTATAGGGCACTCACGGAACGCGGGGTGCACGTTGCCGATCCTGAGGCTGAGACTCGGGAACGAAGTGCAGAAGTACGGGAAAATCCCGAATGAAGTGCCGACGCCACTTCCAAACAGCAAGTGGCGGATCCCACGGACCGGAAATGCTCCTGCTACGCCAACTCAAAAACAGGGGGAGCGGAAGGGACGGCGGAAGTGGCCGCACGGGCTTCTGGACTGTGTAGTCTTTGAGACAGAGAGGTGGTGGGTGAGTAGGCTTGCTAACTGCAAGGTGACTTTGACTTCTGCACCTCTCATACAACCAAGTTTAGGAGCCCACTGTTAAGATGCCCAGACCGCAAGGTGCACATATTTCTCCTCCGAAGGGCAGTGAGATCTTGCGGACCACGAGAGAGTCGCAGAAGTGCCCGAGGATTTTAGGATATGTGATCCTGGCTTCCCGCCGGTGCTACGGAGGCGGGTGGCCAGGCTGTGCACTGACGGTCAGCGGCGCGGACGAACTGGGGTAACTCATGCCAAGGCGCCGCCCCGTGTGCCCTTCCCGTAGCAGAAACCAGGGTCCAGATTGGCGCGAGTGGGCGCCGGTCACGGCAGAGCACTTGAGGGATGAAGCAGTGGAGTGATGCTTTGTTGGGACTCGGGGATAAGAGCGACACCGGCCTTGGTCCCCGATGGTAGGAGGGGCGCCAGTATGGACAGGGGACGCCAAGGCTATTTTTGAGGAGAGCGGGATTGGCTGGGCCAACTCCAAGCTTTGGTCTTGTGTCCCCGGGGTTTTGGTAGATAGGGAGGCCGGACTTGAGGCCAAGAGCACAAGGCCCCCTGGTGGTAGACGTAGTCCCTGGGTTTTTTTGTTTTTGTTTGTTTGTTTGTTTTTGGTGTGTGTTTGTTTGTTTGTTTGTTTTTTAATTGGTAGCTAGGTGACAGGTGACACTTAGAATAAATTTACAGGGGTTGTGGTTGGGAGGTCGGGGGGGATGAGGAGTGAAGAGGAAGCATAATTTCACAGTTTTGTTCATCATGATTTTTTTGCATGAATTCTGATTTTCAAAGATACTACCTTAAAATATTTATCTTGAATACTGAACTTTTATGGTGCCCCTTATATTTTGCCCCAAAGTCCTGGCTGTAGGGAAAGGCATGAATAGATCTGACACCATATGAACCTCATTGGCACCTACTGGCTTGTAGAGTTGATAGGAGATGAAGGCCTGGCTTCTGGGCATTAAGTAGCCAGAAAGAGCCCTTTGGGAGCTTACCCTGAATGGTTGAGTTGGGTTATCTTTTCTTTCTTGATTTCCTTAGTATCTACAATTTCCTGATAACTGAACCTTCCAAAGCCCCACCCACAAAACACCTCCACGACGTATCATGGTGCACATATTCGAAGACTACTCTTGAATCTTCGCACCCTACTCCAGAATATCTTCCAATATCTCTTTACCTGAAGGAGTAAAAAAACAAAGTTTGCATGTTAGTATCAGCCTTCCCCATTGGATGGTGTTTAGGAATGAGGATCGGCCCAGTGACCTATTCCAGTCCTGGTGGCATACCTCACCAAGAGTTTCGTATCCATGAATGTGAAATGCTTGCTAACAACTCATTACGAACCAAAGTCAGGCATGGGGCTGTGAAGAGCATACATGAAATGGAGGGACTGAAAGCTTTAGAGAAAGGATTGGGGTGCTGGTGGGGGGAGGTGACTGGAGGTAAGATTCTGAGATTATCCAGATCCCTATGTGTAGACATGTGTGTACACAGTCAGTGAAGAGAAACCTAGGCTGATAGGCTACCTGTAATAAGTCAAACATAATATAACACAGCAGGTCAGGTGAGGGGCACTTGGGTGGCTCAGTGAGTTAAGGATCTGACTCTTGATTTTACTCAGGTCATGATCTCACGATGCATGAGTTTGAACCCCCCTGTTGGGCTCTGCGATGACAGTGTGGAGCCTGTTTGGGATTATCTCTTCCTCTCTCTGCCCCTCCCCTGATCAGATGAACACTGCTCTCTCTTCTCTCTCTTTCTGTCAAAATAAATAAACATTAAAAAAAAAAAAAAAGCAGGTCAGGTGATGATGTGACTCTGCAAACTTACTCATACCCCTTTCTCTCCTTCAGGGAGGGGAAAGGGGTTGGAGGTTGAATCAATCGCCAGTGGCCAATGACTTAATCAATCATGCCTGCCTGTGCAAAAACCCAAAAAGCCTTCATAAAAACCCAAAAAGACAGAGTTCAGAGAGCTTCCAGGTTGGTGGAGATTCAGGAAGAGTGGTCACTCAGAGCATGAAAGCTCTGTGACCCTTATCCATACCTTGCCCTATGGCTCTTCCATCTAGCTGTTCTTGAGCTATATCCTTCTATAATGAACTGGTAATCCAGTAAGTAAAATGTTTCTCTGAAATCTGTGAGCCTTCTATCAAATTAAATAAACCTGAAGAGGGAGTTGTGGGAGCCTCCAATATATAGCCAGTTGGTCAAAGCCCAGGTGACAACCTGGACTTGTAATTGGCATCTTAAATGGGGGGATGGGAGGGAGTCTTGTAGGACTGAGCCCTTAACCTGTGCCATGTGATACTGTCTCCAGGAAGGCAATGTCAGAATGGAGTTGAAATGTAGGACACCCAGCTGGTGTCTGAGACTTGCTTGAATGTGTGTGTGGGGGGGGGGGGGGGGGG